GGTGGTTCCATCACACAAACTGGCACCAAGTAGCCAGCTGGTCCATGGTGAAGGTAAACCAAAGAAGCAATACCAATTGCTGCCTCTCAACGGACAAGGAAATACAAAGGATAACCTTTTCGGGGCACCCCCCGAACAACCTCAAAATCAAAATGGCCCAAAAATAGAGGCTGAACGTTGCCCAAATCGGAAAACCAAAAGGCTGTAGAACAAAAAACGTGTCGTCTTTCACACGCTCAACCCTGATCAACCTTGCTACTGAAGCCATGTCGGCTGATAGCTCTGCCAGCTGAGCGCAGCATAAAGAAATCAGGATGTGCCCCCTATCTGGGTGGTTTCTGACTCTGACAATATCATCAATCTTTCAAAGAGTTAAGCGATTGCAGGCCGCACTAAAGCATGTTTAGGAGCCCTGGTTATTTTTCTTGCAAATATGGTTCTATAAATATAGTTTACGTCTGTTCTGAATAAGTCCCCGAATTGGTGTCCGCAGTCTCGAGTGAGCATCAAACATGCGGGGGCATGGTTGGGTATTCATGCCCACGTCAGGCAATGCGACAAGTCATGATTGCCTCTCGGGCCTTTTGGCGCTTTATCACGTAGGGGATGCTTTATCCAGGGAGAACTCCCTACAAGAGCAACTGGACTTTCAAACACGAGGCTGTCACATTCTCGCTCAAATCCGCTCGCATTCCGAGTCGGAAAGAAAGATGTTTGCGAACCTTGGTTGGCCAACCACGCGAAACCGTGGCATTCTCTGGTCAAACAGACTCATCTGGGCTTCTCTGAGACCAGGCTTCTACGAATCGACGCCGGGAAAGGGACTGTGCCCCAGCAAATGAGTGAGTCAAGTGTGAGCACTTTCTGGAAATGAGCTGGTCCCGTCCATTCCGCATATTTGCGAACGGTCGAACAAAAGACTTTGGCGTCAACGCGGAAGGCCACCGAAGGCAAACCCAAACCGCCCAGGCACAAAGCGCGACATTGAAGTGGACGCGAGAAATACTCCGCTTAGTCTGTATCTCATGGAATCTTGGGGCAAATGGAACCTGCGCGACTCGACCTCGCTGCGTTTTCTGTGCGCAGGAGCTGCGTCGTCAGCCGAGCAAGCTGTGGTCCATGCCAAGATCGCGATTGAGGTGGGCTTTGCTGCTATATGCGTGAGGACAGCTCATTGCTCGCCCGCGTTGCCCAGCAGCTTCGCGGTTCGGTGAGCTGCAGTCCCACGATCAAAGTCTCTGCCCGTGTTGCCTTGAATGGCCGCGCCTTTGGGGGATGTGGGCTAGATACATGCATCTATGAGCGTCCCGCGGTTCTGGAGATGTTTTCGCATGCTGACTCTTGAATGGATGATCAAGGCCATGTTGCAAGCCGATCCTTGCGCGACCAAACTGCTTTTCAGCGCTGGTGCCAAATGCCAGCAAACTTGAAACGCTATGAAACAACAAACACGTGTACTTGGATTTGTCTCGACATGGCACCCAGGAATGGCGCGCGGTTTCCCTTCAGTTCCCAAGAAAAGTTTGCCCTCGAAAAGACAAGTCGCACATCCATCCGCTCACCTCATCCGCACGTATTGAATTTCTGAATTGCTTCATGACCAAGTGGCTCTATTAATCAGCGAGCTTTTGTTCACTGCGCGCAGAGCTCCGGAACTGCGCGTCTCAACCACCGCACCGCCGGACTCGTGGGTTGTTTTCCGCGGCCTCAGGCCGCAACGCGCTGGCACCGCCAAATACGGCCTGGGTGATGGCTCTTTTCTTTCGCGCCCGCGGCGAGCCGGCCAGCGCTTAACCAGGCTTAAATCAAACCAGCACCCAGCACACCGCACATCGGCGACGGTGGCATGGTTCGACCTCTTTTTGACTCCCGGACGACCGGGAAATAACCTGCGAAAGTCTGGACATCTCTCGGCAAGGCCTCGCTTTCTTCGGAATGGGCAGCGCGCACACTCGAGCTCGCCAGCGCCGCGTAAAGCGACAGGTGAAAATCCCCCTTGCCGGCACGACTCAATGTGCGAGCACTTCATTTTCTAATCCACACACCGGATGGGCAAATGGATGTCTTCGATTTGCATCCAGAAGTTCATCCAACGGTGGCGTGTGACGTTAACTGCACTGAAGCCACTTCGGACAAATCAGTGGAAACCCCAAGAGGGCGATTCCGACGATCGTCCGCTTTACATAAAAATGGCGCCTCAAATGCATGGCGCTGACTTTGCTAGCGCCAAGTTGGACTTGCGCAAGATTTCTTTGAGAAACGTGGTGGTTAAGCAACCCAAATCTGTGATACCAAATGTTTTCCCCTTGGCTACTCATCAAACTTGGCCCCAAAACCCAACAACCTAAGGATGTAAAAGTTCTGAGAAATCTCAAACTGTGCCGTCGCTCTCACTTGAATTGCTGGTACTGTCCATGTCCTGCCAGGCAAATCAGATGCAAACAACAGCAGGGATTTGGTCACAAAGCCCTCAACATGAATATTGGGGAAGACACTAAACAAATGATATCTCAACCGCCAAATGAGAAAAATACCCATGGTTAAACCTGGGGGGGGCACCAAATGGAATATGGATCAACCCCCCAGCTCCCACTCTGCGCGCCTGAGATGCTACTCGCATGCGCTGAAAGCGCGGATGCCCAAGCGGACGCTTGCAGAGCTTCTCCGTCAAAAACACCTCGGCAGACACTATAGACACTCCATATTGGCACGTGTCTCTGTGCGTGCGCGTGTGTGCTGCGCGTGCGTGCTTGGGGTGGGGTGGGGTGGGGTGGGGTGGGGTGGGGTGGGGTGGGGTGGGGTGGGGTGGGGTGGGGTGGGGTGGGGTGGGGTGGGGTGGGGTGGGGTGGGGTGCGGTGCGGTGCGGTGCGGTGGGTGGGTGGGTGGGTGGGTGGGTGTGTGTTGTGTGGTGTGTGTTGTGTGTGTGTGGTGTGTGTGTGTGTGTGTGTGTGTGTGTGTGTGTGTGTGTGTGTGTGTGTGTGTGTGTGTGTGTGTGTGTGTTTGTGCCTGTATGCTGTTTGTTGGTTTGTTTCTTTGTTTGCTTGTTTTTATTTATTTATTTATGTGTGTGTGTGTGTGTGTGTGCGTGTTTTGTGTCTGTGTCTGTGTCTGTCTGTGTCTCTGTCTGTCTCTGTCTGTCTCTGTCTGTCTCTGTCTGTCTCTGTCTGTCTCTGTCTGTCTCTGTCTGTCTCTGTCTGTCTGTGTCTCTGTCTGTGTGTCTGTCTCTGTCTGTCTCTGTCTGTCTCTGTGTGTCTGTCTCTGTCTGTCTGTCTGTCTCTGTCTGTCTCTGTCTGTCTGTCTGTCTGGCTGGCTGGCTGGCTGGCTGTCTGTCTGTCTGTCTGGCTGTCTGTCTGTCTGTCTGTCTGTCTGTCTGGCTGGCTGGCTGGCTGTCTGTCTGTCTGTCTGGCTGGCTGTCTGTCTGTCTGTCTGTCTGTCTGGCTGGCTGGCTGGCTGGCTGTCTGTCTGTCTGTCTGTCTGGCTGGCTGGCTGGCTGTCTGTCTGTCTGTCTGTCTGTCTGTCTGTTGAGTTGTGTGTTGCGTGTTTCATGCCTGTGTTTGTCTGTTTGTGTGTTTGCGTGCTTGCGGGTTTGTCTGTATGCTTGCTTGCTTGCTTGCTTGCTTGCTTGCTTGCTTGCTTGCTTGCTTGCTTGCTTGCTTGCTTGCTTGCTTGCTTGCTTGCTTGCTTGCTTGTTTTTGAGGGTGCATGTTGCAGCTCGGCTTAAGGAAATCAAAGGAATGTCGCCAGTTTGGGGTTCCCTCATTATGACTCATGTGCCCAAATGGGCTCCTCGCTCGGTCTTTTCGCTTGAGACTGAGCGCGCGGCGACGGCGGCAATGCCCCAACACACCGCGCCGGCATTCATGAGCAGGGCGCCTTAGTCTCGCTTTTGGAGCCCAGTTACCACGACTCACTGCTTGAGTGGCCAGGAAAAGGTCCAAACTGTTCTGTTTGCCACCAGGGCTGTGGGAAATGACAACTTCTGTGATACAACAAAAAGGGCCTCCCAAAGACCAACCCCCCATATCAAGAGGGGATTCCCTTGTATCACAGAAGTGGTTGGATAAACCCCTTGCGATCCCACAACCCTGTTTGCCACACCTGACCTTCCCAAAATATGTTTTTGTGCCGCTCATACACTCTGGGAGAGAGAGTAAAGGCCACCAGCTATTTGGGTTCTTGGCTTCTTAAGGGTTCCCTTGGCTACCGCATATGAAATCACTGGGCTCGCTTGGTGGGAAATCCGAAATCTCTGATACCAACTGCGCGCCTTGGTCTTGCTTTCAGTTGACACGTGGTACAGCCCAAGACAAATGAGCGATTTGATAGCGATGGGGGTCAAAGACCCCATTCTCCCTAACAAAAGAGGGAGGGAGACTTCCCAAATGGACCATTAGATCTTCCAAATGTGCACCTAGGCCTGAGAGACATCCCTATCTTTAGGCATCCGACTTAGCGACTGAGCCAGATCAAAACACAAGCCAGTGTCTCAAATGAGGAACTTTGTTGTTCCTGCAACCGCCTTGAGCAGAACAAGCAGGGTCCAACTGTCAGGCGTCAGGCATCGCTTGTTCATACCCCTTGACTACCCCGGCTTCCAAAAGGGGTATATACCCCGTTTGGGCGAAAGGGGTATGAACATCATCCGGCCTTTTGGGTTCAATTGCCCAAAGGAATTCGTTTAACATCCCACGCAAATGGTAGTAAGACATCCTCAAAGCTACCCTTCGGGTGGTTCAAAAGGGAAGCCCTGTAAAAGAACTTTGAGAACTTCAAAAAGTAGTTTTCCCTGCCACATGGGTAGACACTGGCGGGCACGTCGCCCCCGGCGAATCCAACTGTTTTGATGCTCGGGGCTACCTTTGCTTCCCTTGGTTTGTACTTGATTAACTTCCATTTGGTTAAGACCAATGGAAACAAATATCTCCAGTATTAAAACCAACAGAGAAAATAACAAATATTCTCAAGCAAACGGAAGTTGATGAAACCGGGACAGGGGGGGGTCATACGAAGACCCCCGTGGTTCCATTGAGACACCAGCCCAAGGGTGCAGCGTCGCCCCCCACTGCACTCGGGCTGATCATCACCTCGGCACGACCCAGCGCAGTCTCTCAAAATGAAGGGGCCAAGGGAAACAGGCGATGTTCGGAAGGAACATTGTACAAAATCCAGGCTTGTCCTCCATTTCTTGGAGTCGCAGGTTGTGGTGGTCTTAGTTTCTTGTTGGTTTTCCTGTGGAGACCAACACATGCCGAAACACATTGTTCTTCATGAGCTTTTCGCTCACCTTCTGATCTCCGTGAAGCATGATGTTTTAACCAGGCTAGAACTTTTTGCCATCCGACAAGCGGGATGAAGGACTTGGAATGCAACCCCAAAAAGATAAGTGCCCTTTGATGTCTGGTTTCGTCTGGTTTCATTGCAAGACACCTAAAAAGTTCTAACCCGTGATTAACCCCCAAATGTCCTCCGAGTCCGCGGCAAACTTTTTGGCCACGTCGATCCGCTCGGCTGGAAACCTACGCCGCGCTTTGCCAAAGCCTATGGGCCATGAGGTGCTCTCCAAATGCTCCTGAAACAAATTCCACCCAATTGAGACGCCTTCAAAAACGATGCCTTCGGCTGGGTTCCAACAAAACCATCGGAAAAGCAACTCACCACCAAACATTGGGGGTGGGATGGCCTGGACCTTTGGACCTCACAAATACGCACCCAAGTGGCAGATCCATCGCGCCTGTTGCCAATCTGCAGCAAGACCTTCTCGCCCTTGGCCAAGGGCTCCTGGAGCTTCGAAGCGGAGAAGTTGCGGGGCTGAAGTACATTGTCACCCCCGTGTGGGTTAAAGGGAAACCACCCACCATTTTCTGACTTCGCCCCAAGCCGGGACCAAATTTTAGGAAGGAATAGTTCACGTTCACGAAGGCCGGTGGACAAGTCGGGCGTGTGGAAAAGCGTTTTGAGAGTCGCCCTGTCAACTCAAAAGGAAACCATTCCATCTTGGATTTGCGGACCTTTTACCCCATCATTGCCGAATTTTGAGGCCCACAGTGTGTGCCGGGGGGGGGGGGATGTTTTTCCCACCCCGTCTTGGTGGGCCCTTTCGAGACTGTGTTGGTTCAACCAAACAAGGGACAAACAATTGTGTGTGCTTTTGTTGGAAACGAAAGGAAATCCGCAGGTTGGTACTTTGTTCATTGGACAACGACGCAAAACCTGCCATTTGACGTTGTTTCGTTTGGACATTGGACACCAAAGGAAACAACGCCGCGCTGGTTTGCGGTGTTTGAACCAAGGAAGAAAAGGCAAACCCAAGTTGGGCGTCTCTCATTTGAGTTGGTGCCCCTTTTTGGGTTATTTTTTGAAAGGAAACCACCTGGATAGCCAAGTTGCTGTTTCTTTTTGTCACTGTTGCTGGTGGTTAGGGTAAAGTGGATGGAGAAGAAAACAAACAATCGCAACTGGCGATCCAGGCAAGTTGTAAATCCACCACTTTGGGACCTCCAACGAGCTGTTTCACCCATCTCCGGATTTGTCGCTGTTCGCGCCTTCAGGGTGCCGATCTTTTTCATGAGGTCGGGCATGGCCGAAGGCCTCGCAGCCGCGAGTCGCGTTTTTTCAGGCGGATCACCAGCGGACGCAAAGCGAAGAACGCACAGGGGTTGATCCCCACCAACTCAAATAATAAGGTGATCCCCCCAGATTCATGGCCAAATATGAGGTGATGTTCCCATTGGGGTTCAAGGGTCTATGATTTGGGTGTGTCTTTGGTGATATTTCCTTCTAGCCTTCCTTTAACCACCCACAAAAGGGGCAGCAATTCATAAAAAGACCCGGGGCGTCAACCTCAGAACCTACTGCCGATATGTGAAATCCCCACCTCATCCAATCCACGAAGCGTGCGGTTCTCACCCCCTCCCGCGAGATCACCTGGATCAGATGCGGGATGCTCATGGTCCTTGCCCTCTTGCGCTCCTGTGCTTTCCAAAAATCGTTTCTCTTCTTTCCTTTTCACTTGTTTCCTCCTGGGTCGCAGCAACTGGCGATCCTTTTTTTTCCATTCCATTTTACCCTCCAAAAACCGATCGCAACGGCGACAGACAACAGACGATCGCAACTTGGCTCTCTAGGCTGTTGCTTACTTTTCTTGCGCTGTCTCTCTCCCTCCCAACCAACTCGGCACTTCACTTCCTCGGCGTGGAACGGTTCGGAAGGTTCCCGGAGAAACCCGGCAGGGAATCCGGGGATCCCTGCCTGAACATTGCCTTGTAAATGGTGCGAACCCCCTTTATTTTGGTGGAAAACCATGTTTCACATGGGCAAAATGTATCTTTTAAGGAGCCCTGCGGAAATCACTTTCCTTTTTCCATGAGGATTGGCCCGACCTGGGCCCCAACCAAAGCAACTCCAAGCAGGAAACGTAAGGCGCGTAAGCAGCTAGAAGCCGACTTTGTTTTTGCAACCAAGTTGACCACCCCAAGTTGACCACCCCAAGTTGACCATCTCAAGTTGACCACCCCAAATTAACCACCCCAAGTTGACCACCCCAAGTTGACCAGCCCAAGTTGACCAGCCCAAGTTGACCACCCCAAGTTGACCGCTCCAAGTTGACCTTCTCAAGTTGACCACCCCAAGTTGACCGCTCCAAGTTGACCACCCCAAGTTGACCACCCCAAGTTGACCACCCCAAGTTGACCACGCCAACTTGGCCAGCCCAAGGTGAACACCCCAAGTTGACCGCCCCAAGTTCACCACAAGTTGACCACCCCAAGTTGGCCACCCCAAATTGACCACCCCAAGCTGACCAACCCAAGTTGACCACCCCAAGTTGCAAACACCTCCTTGTGACCCAAGTCGCCCAAGGCTGGGCTCAAGCCTTTCAGCCCGTGGAAACACGGAACTCGGAACTCGCCTCCGGGTACCGCTGAAAGAGCCACTCCTGGGTGTGACAGCTGGTTTAGGCTTCAGGGTTTATAGGGTTTGGGCTTTAGGGTTTAGGAAGTTTAGGGTTTAGGAAGTTTGGGGTTTGAGGGGGTTCTTAAGCCCCTTTGGTGTAAACCTTTTGCGCCCGGCTCGCAAAAAAAGAGTGTGGGACGCTGTGGAGGCCTGCGTTTATTTCCAGTGACTTGTGTAGTTTTTCATGCGTCCCCTTCTGAATTTTGTAGGGAACCAGCCACGCCCGAATTTTGTAGGGAACCAGTCATGCAAAAAAGAAAAGCAGAGGTGCAAATGGCCCCCAAAATCCCACGCCACTTGGGGATAGACCAGCTGGCGCGAAGCGGAACTGATTCTGTCCAGCGCTAAGGCCGGCTCCACACCGGCTCTGCTTGGGTACTCGGGCGGATTGCGAAACCTGCCGCTTGGCCGCTTGTCAGGCACATGGCCAATCAACAAGCATCAGTGTGTCTAGGATGGGAACCTCAAAATATGGCATGCTTGTTGTTTTCCTGTTTTCTCTCTCCGTATTTGCATACACACAAGTATGAAAATATTCAAATGGGGGGTCCCCCACGTACCGCGCGGTATTTTGATGACGTTCCACTAAACGTAGTCTTCGGGGAGCCAGCTCTGGAAAAACTCCGTGTTTTTTGACGCCCTCTTTGCGAAAACGCTGGAAAAACCATGTGTTGCGGGAAATACTGGGGAGCAAAGGCGAAATGCAAGGAGCAAAGGCGAAATGCAAGGAAATAGGAAGTCGACATGACAGGAAAGCAAGGGGAAATGAAAGGGAAACAAAGGGGAACTGAAAGGGACATGAAAGGGACAGAAATGAAAACAAGGGGAGTGCAGGGGGAATGAAAGGGAAACAAAGAACAAGGAAACCAATCGGCACGACGGGAGATGTAGGGAAATGACTCGCAACGAAAGAACGGGACGTACATGGAAAATGAAGCGGACATACCGAGAAAATGACAGGGACATGAAGGGGGAGTTGAAAGGAATGGAAGGGACATGACCAGGACATCATGGGAAACGTGAAAAGGACATGATTGGGAAATCAAGAAGAACGCCAGTAGTAAGCAGACAGTTCAGGTTCAGGGTCATGAAGGGGCAGTGCCCGGACATCGAGGCAACTCAGGGGGGACGTGACGCTGCAATGCAGAGAGAGAGAGAGAGAGAGACACAAAGAGAGAGCGGGAGAGAGAGAGAGAGAGACAGAGACAAAGAGCGAGAAAGAGAGAGAGAGAGAGAGAGAGAGAGAGATTGGGTCCTCCAGTAGAGAGGTTAGAATAAGGGTACCCTTTTTTCTGTAGAGGGGCGTGGACGGGAAGGAGACAGGGACACAGAAAGAGACAGAGAAACAGAGCGAGAGAGAGAAACAGAGAGAGAGAGAGAGACAGCGAGAGAGCGAGAGATAGGGAGAGACAGAGAGAGGGAGATTGAGGAGAAAGAGGCTTGGGGGGATGGGGAGGATGGGGAGCAAAGGGAGGGAGAGAGGACAGAACACACGGGGGAGGAGACAAGAGAGAGAGGAAGAAGGAGAAAAGGGAGAGGACAATGTCGGACTGAGCCGGAGGCTCTACAGTACCATGGACCATGGTTGAAGCCAAGAGGAAGCTGACTTGAGGAGTGCGCGCCTTTCCGAGTCCACGCGGGAAAGCTCGCCCGGGTCAATGGGCAAGTCCTGCCCACTTTTTCGCTGCGCCTCAAAGTGAGACCTCACTTTTTGTGGGGTAGATGAACCCCCTGGAGTTGCGGATCGCCTTTCCCTCATCAAATGCGACTAGTTTTTAGCTTGATTGTGTGGCTATCCAGGCCCTTTTGAAAAAGTATGGGGGGCGGGTCGCACACATTGGAATGAGCCTATGTCCTAATATGGCAAGGGGTTCCTCTTGACTTCCCTACCAACCGAGAAAACTAAATACGGGCCGTTTTAGACAGGTCATGTACTCTTTTTACAGACAGTCTATCCTAGAACCAGTTGGAGTTGATGAGAAAACCACACAATCAAGTAGCAGACGATCCATGTGCTTGCTGTTTCTGGCCCTGTTTTTTCAGGGCTCCCAACAAATTGCCCGCAACATGATTCCAAAAGGAAACCCAAAAACGTGACCGCCAAGGGTGAAACGGTGAAGCCCGAAGGCCTGAAAACCAACAGGAATTTGGTGCTGAACAATCTGCAGTAATAGAACTCTCCCACACCTGACCAGCCTGTTGTGGTGAGTATTTTTGCCATGGGGGGGAAAAAGCTGCAACCAGACCTGCGGAAGTTCCTGGGAGGTCAACCCCTAGAACGAAGCATTCGACGTCCGGCTCTACATCAGGCCCCAAAACGAAGCTCCTTGCCGTCGCTCATTCTTCGCAGCCTGCGAAGCGGAATCCGAGTCTCCCTGGCGGAATCCGAGGCTCCACATCGCCCCACGGAGATCACTCGAAGTATTTCATAGTGGCGATTTGGACCTCAGCCTTTTGACCCCAACAAGCCCCTCATCCTTCGAAGTGAGCCTCGAAACTCCACCCAGCCTGTTTCGTCCTGTAGACCCGCGTAAGTAAGCGGAATCCCGTCCAACAAAAAGGGTATAAACAAGAAAAACCGGGGTTTTGAAACCGCTCACTGGGGCTGGAGGACGCCCTTCGTCGAACAGTTGCGCCTGAAAGTGTCATTGAAGAAGCTGGTGGCCTGAGCGAGGGACGGGCGAAAACTTCTCTTCTCACCCCCGACCCCAAAAGGCATGGGTGTGTGTCAAAAAAAGGGAATTCCCCTCGCGCGTGCCGGGAAACCAGACCACCAGAAAAAGAACAAAGATCAAGAAAACCCGCCTCTGCCGATCTTTGTTTCTTCCAGTTGGTAGACCAATGAACTGAAATGGTGCCGGCCTGCAAGCCACAGGGGAAGATGATCTGGCCATCAACCACGCGTGTGTCTTGCACAGGGCAGTGCCTCAGCTCAGCAGCTCACGCTGGAGGCGGGCGGGAGGCCGGTCGGCTTCCTCTTGGCTTCCCATCCCAGATCGGAAGACAAGCACACACATGCGGGGTTGATATCAAAGGCCCTGATACATAGGATGACCATTGGGTGGAAACCCACTCAAAAGATTTGAGATATGTCCCACATGGGAAAAGCGGGACAAACCCTGGAGTGTCAAACCCCAAACCAAGGACCCTTGAAAGGAGGTGTGTAGTCAACACATCCAGTATATGGTTTAATTTGGGATTGGGAACATGGGAGGACGTATACCAAACCAGGACTCCCTCAAAAGGTTTGGTTTAAAATCGAGCCCATATGGGTATGGGTCAAAGTTAAACCACCAGGGGACCTCAGGTTTTGGTCCATGTTTCCACTTAGTGCAAGCCATTTGGGGGTTTCCCTATTTTTGACCACCGCCATATCTTTGAAGCCCAATCCGACGGGTCTCCCCTTCGGGTCTGAAGGCTCGGGCTTCTCTAGGAGGATTCCTTGCTGAAACTCGCCTGGCGAGTCGGAACTGGTTTCTGACCCGGAAATGGGCATCTTGAACGAAAAGGTAGCTCAAAATTAAACGATCGGAGGGGCAAACCGCAGGTTTTGGTACCCATGTTTCCACTTACCGATCGGGCAACCCATTTTGGAATTCCGGTTTTTTGAGCCATACCCAAAATACACACACTCGGCTGTTGGCATGGCATGGCAGCCAGTCTCCTCACAGGAGCAGAAAAACAAGGCGAAGAACATAGGGCGTTGCCTAAAAAAGAGCTGCGGTTGAGGCTTGTGAAGAAAGCAAGCCTGCTAATTATATCGCACGAGAGACAAGTCTTTGAGACCATCATCTTCGAGGCAACAGATGGGCTCCAGCTTCATTCTGTCAACTTCC